GCAGCAGGGGCTGCAGCCTACGCCATCGCCGGCGACTCAGCAGCCCAGCTCCAGGTCAAGCCGTTGTTCACCATCTTAGCTGCAGAGGGCAGTGTCACTGGCCCTCATGTGTGATCCAAACCGGGGCCCTCTGGTGTCCCAAGCCAGTTCTTAACCAGCGCGCCACTCGGCCAGCCCTCTTTTGGGAATTCTTGTTTCTCTGTCCATCCTTGCAAGGATTTACCCTCAGCTGTTTTCATGCTGTAAGTCTCCAGGCAATCTCATTCATTTATGTGTTGAAAAACTCCAAGTCAATATTCCAGCCTAAAATCTCAACCATGTAGCTTCCTCCATCTAATTAATTTCTCAACTGTGTTATATGTCTCACAGTTACTGCATACTCATAATTTCCACAACTGGACTCATTTGGGATTGCTTCAATTACAAATACCTTCCCTATACCTCTGCCCCAACATACACACACTTTTCTTGTTCTGTTGGGCTTAGCTTTGGTGTCACTACTGCCAGAGCCTTTCCATAGCCCTTCAAGACTTGCACAGCTCAGTTTTCACTGTTACAGCACTTAACTACAGCTCACTGTAGCTGCCATGGACATGTTGTGCTTACTTGATGTAAACTACCAGAGGGCAGGATTTGTGCCTTGATTACAATCATATTCTCTTTGTCTAATGAAAAAAAAATGAGACTGTTGGATATGGAATTAAAAGCACATGTAAGGGGTTGACACCTTGAAAAGGAGGAAAGGACACAGTCTCTGGGACTTGACTGAGGCGAGCGAGAATAGATGCTGATCTATACATATTTATAGGTCCCATGAGAAGTTGAAAAGGGTTAGGGACAAAATTTTCATAGTACAGTAGGAGTTTAGATAGTTTACTGAGAAGGAGGATGAGGGGGGATTGCTAAGATTTGGGGCTTGAAAAGAATAATGCAGAAATCAGGCTGCAGGGCCACTTGAGGGAGATGACCGAGAGACATCCCAGTTAGGGCTGAAGCATGCTGTGGGCCTTTTGCAGATTAACTTCTAATCCACTACTCAAATCATTCCAGATTTGAATGTCTTTCACATTTACCTCATTTTAGATGTTTTTTCCCACTCATTGTAGTGATGGGCTTCTTCACAGTGTTTAAGTTTAAAAACCAATATTTTTACCTGTAAGCTATGAAGTTATTTCATTTGCCTATGATATAAACAGTGGATCTGTAAACAAAATATTTCTCTAGAGGATAAAAGATATCTTGCATGTATCCCTACTCACTTAATCTTATATTCCCAAATGATTTCCATGTGAAAAATGTAAAGATTGAGGTAAAACTCCTGTGCTTCATTTTTTTGAGTGAAAATGCTGATATTTATTTCAATAATTAAAATGGAAATATGCTTATTTGAAAGTTTTTTTATGAACATGACTAGGTTGTGAACTTAAAAATTTGTTCTTTAGGCTGGCAGAATATGTAATAAAATAAAGGTAACTTTTCAACGAAGGATTTTCTAAGCACTACTTCTCATACCAAACATTTGAGACTGGTCCACTTCAGAGCACAGTGTTTACACTAACCAAGCACAGATACACAAACACATATATGTATCTACATATACATTCTAAGATAAAGTGGAACACCATTTTTACAAGTAGTCACATCTTTATAAAATGGGAATTTGGGTACTGTAACGGCACTGATAAGTGATATATTCAAAATTGAGCTTGATGGATGGAAGGAGTAGCTGAGAAACATTGAATGTCTTTTCTTTGGGAGGAGAGTAATAGGTACTGAACTCAGGCAAAACAAAAGCAGTCCTGTTTTCTCCAGTGGATGTAGGTAGTGTGGAGTCTTCTAGTACATCCTTTGCCATTGAGAACATGCTACTGTTATTATAAATGTAGACATACTATTTTTCTAAGACAGCCATACCCCATTTTTTCAAAAGTATCACTAAAGGTGGCTGAAATTTATATTGTGAGTATATACCCTTCTGTAGAATGAAGCATCTATTATTAAAATATGCCGAGGATTACTTTGGCAGAAGACACTACTACCCCTAAATCCCCTGTACTAGACGTAGTCCATGAGTTCTTTCATTATTTTATTAATAATAAATATATTTGATGACATCCTATGCTTCAACTGATTTCCCAGATAAGGACTGGAGTAATTCTTTATAGACAGTAGAGTTCATGAATCGGGGGTACGAGTCTCTGTGCATTAAGGTGTAAATCTGAAGTTGTGCGTCATCGAATATGTGTTGGGATGGCTCCACCATGTTCCTATTGATGACTTCTCTTACTCGGGAGTCTAAGCTGACCTGTCAATAGAAACAAGCAAGAGTTGTATTAGATA